ATCATCACCACCATCACCATCATCACCATCACCATCATTACCATCGTTACCATCACCACCATTACCATCACCACCATTACCATCACCACCATTACCACCATCACCATCACTGCCACCATCACATTCATCACCATCACCATCATCATCACCACCATCACTATCACCACCACCACCATTACTATGACCCCACACCATCCTCATCACTACCACTACTACCTCTACCCTCACTGTACCTCCCTGAGTAAAAGCAGGATACCTAAAGTCTTTGTCAAGCCTGAGGTGAATATTCTAGGATTCTCAGAGTCAAATCACCATTCCAACCTGAGCTTTTGGGAGATTGGGCATGTTCAACATCTGTGCTGTCCAAGGCTGTCACTGGCCTGTAAAGCTAGTGAGCACTTGAAATGTGTCTGGTGCTAAGGAACTGAACTTTAATTTTATTAGATAGATTCAAATAGTCCACGGGTGACTGGTGGCTACTACGTTGAGCAGCAATGTTCTAAATCATTCTAGAAGGTTCTGCCTGTGCAGTGCCCTGGCCCAACTCCACCCTCAGGAGGCTATGGTGCAGGGGTCATACTCACCACCTTGCATCCCCTAGTGCCCTTCATCCCTCTGGGCAGCTGTCATGGTCAGCTTGCAGAGGTAAGCCCCTCCCCAGACCTCGAGGGTCTCTGGGAGAATACTCGTGGCCAGCAGAGCTGGGGTCTTAGGGAGGCTGACCCCACCATCGCCACCCTGTCCTGTGGCTGAGGGTGGGCCCTACACCTCTCTAGGCCTGGGACTTGGTCCAGGTGATCTCAAAGACCCTCCACACTCTGAAGTTCAGTGTCTCTTGAGACTGGAGCCTGACCTTGGGGACCTCCCCTCTGGGCTGAGGCCAGCAGATGGGATGCCCTAGGAGGCAAGGGCAGGCAGAGGAGAGGAGACCTGCTGACTTTGCTGTGCTCTGGTTGTAGTTTGTGCAGGGAGATGGGACAGCACTTAACCGCAAATGCCTGGTGGGGGGCACGAGGAGGAGGGGTGTTCAGAGACCCAGGGAGCCTGGGCAAAGGACAGGGTGGACGCAGAGGTGGGGGAGTGGGTGCCCAGACACAGGACCCAGTGATGGCCTCTCCATTCCCACAGGAGATCATGAGGCACCTTTTGATGGCAGAGGTGACGGACCTCATCTGGACGGCCATCAGTGGCCTGGGCTCCTCCAGTCCCTTCCGCGTGCAGGCGGCCGCTGAGCTGCTGCTGGCTGTCATCCACCAGCACGGGGCCAAGCTGGAGACCGTGAGGGGTTGGGGCACCACCCAGGGCTGGGCACTATCCAGGGGCACCCGCCAGGCCAAGACAGGAGCCCCGAGCTTGGGCCCAGTAGGGGAAGCCAGAGCCACCCTGTCCAGAGCCAAAAGAGGGAATGCCTGAGGGAGGGTCCAAGCAAGCGTGAGGGGCCTGGTGGTGGCTGCAGGCCAAGGAGCAGACACCACCAGTGGTGGAGCCTGCTGTGACCCTGCGGTGGGAATGGGGCAAAGGGACAGACCCGCCCCTCCGGGAGCTCTCCAACTGACGGGGAGAGGATGGCCAGTAGATGCAAAAGGTGCAGAGTGGGCCCAGAGGGAAAGGAGGGGTCCCCCAGCCAGGGGACAGCTGATGCCAGGTCCTGATGTGGGAGCTGGGCCTCCACAGCTGTGTAACGGACCTCGAAGCAGAAGGGTCAGGACGCTCCAGGCACCAGAGCAGCCTGCACCGGAGCAGTGTGTCTGGGGCAGGATGAGGGGTTGCTTGCCAGACCTTGAGGGGAGTGCTGAGCTCTCAAGCCCCCAAGGCAGGGGGCCTGTCTCCCGGCAGACCTGGGCTCCAGGGAGCTGTGCCTCCCCTGTCAGAGTCCCCAGGACAGGGCCTCCCCTCTGACCTCTCCCTCCTCACACAGGTTGCTAACATGGCCCGGGGCATCCACCTGCGCCTCTGCTCTGTCCGCATCCCCCAAGCCAAAGACAATGCCCTGTCCGCCATCACCCTGCTGGCCAGGAACCACACCCCCGAGCTGGTGGCTGCCTTCCTGGACTTCTCCATGCCCTTGGACAGGTGCCCGGCCCACCCTCCCTCACTACCCACCACCATCCTCCCCAGGCAGGGGCATGGCCTGTGCCCTCCTGGGTGCCCTCCTGGGTGCCCTCCTGGGTGCACAGGGAGCCCCCGGTGCTGGGCACAGGGAGGGAGCACTTGCCCTCCTGGGAGGGACACTGGGGAAGCACTGCTCAGCACGTCCTGCCCAGCCCCCACCCTTCACCTGGCGAGGGGGTCCCAGGACCCTGAGGGTTCCCGGAAAAACCCCCAAACCTCGCCATCCATTAGCAAAGGCCCCTCTGTCTCCACGTCGTCTATAGACCTTCTCTCCCTGTTCCTCCCAGGACCCCCAGCAGCCACCACAGCCTCTCAGGTGAGGCTGGCTTTTCTCCCTCAGCCTTTGGACCCTGGATCGGAGGTGCTGGGGTCCTTGTTGCAGGGCCCCTCCCGCCAGAGTCCCAGCTCTGCCTCCCGCATCCTCAGTTCATACCACTGCCACCCATCCACCCCACACTGCCCTGGGCCATGCTTCACAGTGTAGCTCCCGGACAGGGACACCTTCTTGCCAGACTCCTGCTGTGACTTCTGCCTGGGTCTCCCTCTCCTGGCAATCTTGCCTTCCATCCCCCCCCCCCAGCTACCACTCCCATGGTCCTGGCCCAGACTTGGTCGTCACCAATTTCAAGACTTTCTTCCCCAACACCTCCCACCTTTATGGCTTCTCCCTTGGGTACCCAACAAGCTGCCACCCTTCAGAAGCTATAGCTGCCGCTGTGCCCACCTCTCACAGCCCCTCCTGGCTCACCCTGCTCCCTGATGCCGTTCCACCACCCAGAATCCCCTCCCTCCCTGCACAGACCCAGGCCCTTCCCTCAGCGGCTCACCTGGCCGCCCTCTCCGCTGCACAGGTGGGAGCCTGCAGAGGAGAGGTCACAAGCTCCCAGCACCCAGCAGTGCTTTCTGGGAAGATTGCTGGTGCCCATGTGCAAGCACCTTTGGGTGGTGTGTCAGTAACTTCTCGCCTGATTGCATCGTGAGCGGGGTGGTCTGTCATGCTTCTCCTTCATCGGGTCGGCTGGTCCTGAAAACTGCCTTGTGAGTGTTCTGTGGGTCCTCAGGAAGAAAGTGCATTTTCTGTCGCCTGGGGTTGAGTTGGATATGCATCCGCAAGGCTTACCTTGCCAATCATGGTGTCTTCGTCCCCTATATCCTGCTTCCTTTCTGTCCCCTGATCCCTGGGCTGACCTGTGTTGAAGTCTGACTAAAGGAACATTCATGTGTCTCTGTGTCCTTCCACCTCCTGTAGTTACTGACCTCACACATGTTGCTGTGTTGTTCAGTGCATGCATATTCTGTTATTAATCTTACTTATGAATCATGACCCTTAACTAATTAAAACAAATAAAAAAATTTTTAAAAACCGTGACCCTTAACATTAAACGTGCTCCGCTCTGTCCTGTTGAGTGCTTGGGGGACTTAGATTCTACTCTGTCTGCTGTCAGGATCACTACCCTGACTTCATTTCTTCTCCTCTGGCCTGGTGTTCCTTTGCAGAATTCCTGTTTTAGGTAGCATATTATATAGTGCTTTGGTATTGTGACCCAAATTTGAAATCTTTTTTAACAGGTGATATTCATTGATGTGTGGATGATCAGTCTTTCATAATATTTTGTCATTGTATTTTGCTATATTTGATATGTTTATTTTTCTATATTCTTTCTTTAGTTTAGGAAGTGTTGTGATTTCATTCCAGTTGTTATTTTTGTGCTCTGACCTGCTGGGGTTTTTTTTCTTTTTCTATGTATGTGCTAGGCACTGAAGCCAAGGCCTCATGCACGCCACCAAGGAGCTACAGCCCCATCCTCCTGACCTATTTTAATGCCCCAAGCCCCCTATTTCATTGTTGACCTCTTAATTCCTGGCTTATTCCTCTTATTTGATCTGCTTTAACCCCATCCAGTTTCTACACACCAATCAGTGACGTTATTCCATTTTTCTCTTTATTCCTCCCCATACTTCCCTGTTTTTCAGTTGCACTTTGTCAAAGGATGTAGATTTGCGCCCAGTTTGCGCCGCCCACCTCAGCATTCACCTCCAGTGTGTGTAACCACACTCACCATCATCCCTATGCCTGACGTTTTCTGACAGATTTCCCAAGAAAAGGCACCTGGTTCCCAAGCTCTTCATGTCCTTCTAGGATGGAAGTTGTGCATTTGAAGGGCAGTTGGGCTGGGTAGTCTAGCTCAGCCTCAATCTTGTTGCTTGCCCTGGGGTGTGTTTGGGGAAGAGCTGCGTTTGCGCACTGGGCCTGCGAGCTTCTCTTTTACGCACCGCACCGTGACTTTGAGGTTTGGGCATTCTCTGTACTACCCTGGGGTCAGAGTCTCTGTGTGGTATTACTTTTCCCTTCTTGTTTTTCTAGGAGATTTGGGGAGGCAGAGACGCAGTCAAGTTCCTAGTTCCAGAAGGCAGAGCAAGGGCACCGCGGAAAGACGAGACCCGGGCACCTTCAGAGGAGCCAGTCAGATTCTGCCTTCTTCTGGGTGGAGGGTGGTATAGCCTTGTGTCTCACAGGTTCTCCTTCACCCACGGTGATCTGAGGTTAAATTCTCCCACTGAGCGCTTGGCTTCAGACCTGGTGTTCTTTAATTCTAAGGCTTCGACTTGGTTCTGTCTGTGACTTGCTCATAGTCTGCCCCCCAGACTCCTGTCTCCTGCACGTGCTCTTAAGCTGCCCCTCATTTCTGTTCATAGTGAAGGCTTGCCCACAGCCCAGGTCTGGCCAGTCCAGCGTCCTAGCTGCTGTAAGGTCACCTTTGTTACTCGGCTTTTTGTCACTGTGACCAAAGTACCCACGAAGGAGAAGGAGGTGTCTATTTGGGCTCTGGTTTCAGAGGTGAAGTCCATGCTCAGGGCCCAGGGTGAGACAGGGGGACGTCAGGATGGAAGGGTGCGATGCAGAGCAGCTGCTTTGTTGGTGGCAACCAGGAAACAAAAAAAGGCAAAGGAAAGGTGAGACCTTCAAGGGCACCCCCCCACCACCTCCTCCACAGCCCACCTCCTCCCACAACCCACCAGCCCACATTACCATCCAATGAGGTCATTAAACTAGGGTGGACTGATGAGGTCAGCGCTCTCACATCCAATTATCCACCCCCGTGGATTCCTGCGTTCACATTAGCCTTTTGGGGGGTGCCTCATATCTAAACCATTACATTCCACCCCAGCCCCCAACAGCTCACGTCCACCTCACAAAGCAAAATGCATTTAGTCCATCTCCAAGGGTCCCTGTACAGTCCCTAGTTCTAGCACCGCCTCAAAGTCCAATTCCAAAGTCAGAATCTTCTGAGACTCAAAGCAAACTCTTGGCTGTGAGCTCCTGTAAAAAACCAAGGCAAGTTACTCACATCGATACCTAACGGCTCAGAGTGAGCATTCCCATTTCAAAGGGAGGAACGGGGGCATAGGGGCAGGGGAGGGGCCCAAGCAGGACCTTAGCCCAGCGAGGCGGACATTTTCGGTCGCTCCTCTTGCAGCCTCTGGGGCTCATGGTGAGGAGATGAGGTTCCAGAGGGCCTGGGTAGCCGCCCTCCTTGGCCTCTCTTTCAGCCCAGCTCTCTCTGCGGCCAGCAGGTTCACTGGGGAGACATCCCACGTTACTGGCATCTCTTCGTTTCTGGGGTCTTCAAGTCTCAGCTTCACCCTCGCAGCTTTCTGCGCCACCCCCTCGGGGGCAGCCTGCAAGACTCTGACCCAGGCCCTCCTCTGAAATCTCAGTGGACGCTTTCTTGACCCTCTACCTGCACCATCCCGCTTTCCTGAAGAACCAGCGCCACATGGATGATGCCAAGGTCACTTCCAGCTGAAGTAGCAGCTGGGACCTGTGGGGTCGAGTGGCAGTGGTCTCTGAATGCCTGGGCGCTGAGCCTGGTGAGACAACTTCCTAGGCCCCCTATGCGAGCAGGGCACCCCAAAATCTCTTCTCAAGGAATTTTCCCTTCTACATCCTGAGTCAGTAATGCGTATGGTCATGCAAATTCCTGAGGTGCCCTCAAATTGTCTTTCCTGTTGTCTCTGTACAAAGTCCTTAGTGTCTCCTTGGTGGCTCTGATCTCTTTAACAACCACGCCTTCCTTTCCCCAGTTTTCTGGTCACACTGCAAGTGTTTGAAGTCCTTCCGCTCTACTTTCTGCTCCTGATTCTTACAGCAAACCTGGCTAAAGGCTGCCGGCAACACCAATGTCACCACCTTAGTCCTGTGTGGTCTGGAAATTTCCTCCACCAGATTAATTAGTCTGCCACCGTTAAATTCAGCTCAATTTGGCAAAATGTAGCCAAATTCTTTGCCTGTCGATAACATGAGTGGCCGCTAGTTCAGTTTCCAGTAGATCCCTCGCTCTTCTCTGAAATCTCCTGAGCGTCATCTGTCTCCATTCCTCTCAGCATTCTGGTCTCCGGAGCTCTCACCAGAATTGCCATGAGACTCTGCTTACAGCTTCCTAGGGGTCCCATGCCTGCGTCTCTGAACTTTTCCAACTCCTCCAGCAAACCATTTCCAAAGGCTTCTGAACCAGATGGTCAAGTTAGTCCCAGCCACAGCCCTACTGCTCGGAACCAATTTATATTAGTCAGCTTTTTGTCCTGGGGACCAAAACACCTGACAAGAGCGACTTAGAGGAGGATAAGTCTATTTTTGGTCATTGTTCCAGGGATTTGGTCCATGTCAGCCGAGGCCATCGCTCTGAGCCCAAGGGAGTCTCATGAGGGAAGGGAGGGTGAAGGGGTGCTGCTCCACTCACGGTGGCCAGGAAAGGGACATGGGTGGGTACAGGACGACAGGGAAGATGCCCCCAGTTATCCCCCTCCTCTAGCCACGACCCACCTGCCAACAATCACTACCCTTTAGTCCATTCAAATTGGGAAGATGATTAGATACAGCTCTCCCCATCCCATCACTCCAAGTATTCCTGTATGACCACAGGAAGTTTCCAGGGACATTCCATCTCCAAACGGTGACAATCGCTTCTGTCCTTGCTCTATGCCACCCATGCAGTCTTGCTTCCTCCTGGGTCTGGTTGTCTTTGACAGCCGGCTGGATGTTCATCTGGGGGAAATGTTATAGGAATGATTCACCTAAGGACAGGACACTCCTGCTAAAGATCACTTTCAGCCAACTCCAGGACTCCAGACGCCGGGGCCCCAGGCAATTCACACTGGTGGATGTTCACCGGCTTTTCCACCCCCAGTTCAGCATCACTAGGGATGGCGGAAGGCCCACCTGCTCCACCAGCCCACCTCTGGGCTCCAGTCTCTGCCCTCCATCCCGCAAGGCTGGCAAAGGCCCTACCTTTCCAGAATCGCGACACGTCCTCAGGGCCCTGGTGGCTCCCGGGGTCCCTGCCTCCTGAGGTCTTCATACACTCCATGCGGCCTGGCACTCCTTTGCACTTCCATCATCTCTGGTGCTTTGAGGACCCTGGATTTTAACTCCCCAGGCTTTTTAGCGGTGTTCAAGGGAGGCGCTGACTCGAGTAGCCTGGCAGACCGTTCCTGGGGGACCCGAGCCTCCCTCTCTTTTCTGTTTCTTTAATACCAGGGATTGAACCTAGGGGTGCTTAGCCACTGAACCATGTCCCAGATCTTTCTATTTTTTATTTTGAAACAGGGCCTTGCTAAGCTGCCGAGACTGTCCCCCAACTTGCAATCCTCCTGCCTCAGCCTCCCAAGCCATTGGAATGATAGGCATGCACCACTGTGCCCAGCTCATTCCTTTTTTTAAAACAGATTTAATAAGATGTGACCCACAGGCTATGGCAGTAGCTCGGTGGTAGAGTGCTTGCCTGACATGCATGAGTCCTGGTCCTGGGTTCAACCCCAGCACTACACACACACACACACACACACACACACACACACACACACCACAAATAAAATTCACATACTAAAGGATTCGCCCATTTAAAGTATACAATTCGATGGTTTTGGCATGACATCATGAATCACTTTAACTTTGGTAATCCTGTGTGCCATAGAATTTGCCATTAACCACTCTTAAGGGTCCAGCTCAGGGCACTGATCATATCTGCAGGGCTGCGCAGCTGCCACCACTGTCTGATCCCACAGAGTCACTCCAAGCAGAATCCCTGTACCCATCCAAGAGTAGCCCCCAGGTGCCGCGCTCTGTGCCGCAGAGGCCCCCAGCCTCCTGGCACGAGGGAAGATGATTAGATACAGCCCTGGGAATTCCACAGAGATGGAGTGCACATCTCCTCTGGGGTCCTGGGGCTTCACCCTCCTGAAGCCTGTCAGAGCCTCTCTCCGTCTGTGGCTGCACGTGTTCCTCTGTGGTGATGGGCACATGCTCTCCCCTTTGGGCCATTGTGATCACTACTGCCATCAGCCTTGGCCTGGGTCCTCGGGCTCTGCATCCACAGACCCACCGTACTCTTCCAGAAACACTGCCTCTGCCCTGCGCCTGTGCAGACTTCTCCAGAGTCCCTGGAGGATGCAGTGGATAATATTTGCGCAGTATCCCACTGCAGTAGGGCTGCGCGGGCCGGAGGCGGAGTGCTCAGAGGGTCCTGCTCAGAGGGTCCTGCTCCGCCGCTCTGCAGGAGGGACTTGAGTACTGACTGTATCCGAGGCAGGTCCCGCGGCCACTGCCTGCAGGAGCCAGGGGGCGCTGTGTGTGATCAAGTCCTCTGAACCACCCGGCGCAGCCTTGGTGGTGGTGTGGCTGGCACACGGCAGTCCTGGGGACTTCCCAAGCTGCCGCGGTGGCTTCCACAGTGCTGTGCCAGCAGCAGGAGGGCGCCCAGCGCTGCCCGTCCTCGCCAGCACTCATTACGCTCCATTTCCTGGACGATGGCCATCCTAGTGGGTGTGGCGCGACGTGCGGTGGCTTCCGAGAGCATTTGCTGGTGGCTGATGATGAGCGTCCACCTGCTCCTCAGCTCTTCCGCGTCTTTGTGCGTCCACCTGTGACTGGGTGGCTTGTGTTTGTGCCGTGGCTCGCAGCTCCAGTGAAACCTGTGGCTTCAGGGAAGCCCTCCCTAAGGCCAGCAGCAACCTCGTGCTGCCGAGTCCAGGGGTCAGCCTCTGTCCCCATGCACAAGGGCTGTCAGCAGAATTTGGCTTGGCCAGTCATGCTCCGCTCCGGGAGCCCTTGTTCTCCTGGCTCCGGGAGCCGGCCGCCTGGCTCACTGTCGGCCTTGGTCACTCCACTGGCCACTCCGTCCCTGGCCGCTCCACTCCTGTGTGCTCTCCTCTGCTGGCTCCTGCTTCATCCTGGCTTCCTCACCCGGGCTTCGGGTGACTCTCAGACTTCACCTTCAGTGGCCACCCCTGTTCCCAGGGCTTTTAATGACCTCTAAGTGCTGACACTGCCCAGCATTCACACCCAGCCCCAGTCTGTCCCGAGCACATGCTGGCAGCTCCCAAATGCAACAAGCTTGGCCAGAGTTCGCCTTCTCTCCAGGCTTCAGGGTCCCCATCTGCAACGGGCAGGAGAACATCGCACGCACTGAAAGCTTTGCACACAGCTCAGGTCCACCCAACCTTCACCCGGGGCCCGCGGGCCCTGGCCAAGGTGGCCTCCCGGCAGAGCTGGGCAGGCCCCAGTTGCCACACAGCCCTCATGGCCCTCTCTGCCCACAGCCATGCCTTCCGCCTGTGGAGGGCCCTGGGAGCTGAGCAGCCCGTGAGCCGCCTGGTGCTGGCCATGCTGCTGGCCTGGCTGCAGGAGCGGCCCCTGCCCACCAGAGCAAGCAACAGCAACCCCAACCCCAAGGAGAAGGATTACCTGCGCTCGCTGGCCGTGAGTCCGCAACCCCAGCCCCTGGCTTCAGGAGCGGACAGTCAGGACCATGGCACAGGGTGGTGGGGAGCTCCACAGCCTGGCTGCAGGAAGGCCCAGGCCTGCCCTGGAGGTAGAGGGCCTCCCTCTGGGGCAGCCCCAGTCCAGGGGCTGACCCCACAGACCTGGGTCTCAGGCCCAGCTCTTCTTACTGCCCAGGGCTCTGGCCCCAGCAGGGAATCAGAGCAGAGCGTCCCCCCTGCGGGGTTGGCAAGGGGGTTCCATCTGTGTGTGCCGGACTGCTTATGTGCAGGGCCACCTTGGAGGGGGCTGCAGGCAGGCTGCAGGCAGAGGGGAAGAGTGTGGAGACACCGGGCTCTTCGGCCACACTGGGGCTCTGGGGACCACGGATTCTGGAGGGATCTCAGAGGCTGCCTCCTGTCAGAGCCCTCCAGCTCTCCCTGTAAGCCGGGCCCTGCTGGCATACCCCAGGGGCAGGGCGCTCACTCCCTAAGGCAGCCACACCTGCCCCCTTGGCTGGACCCTGACAAGGCAGCCGCCATGTCCTGGAACTTTCCAGACAGAGTCCCAGCCCCAGAAGCCCTGTGAGCAGAAGCCGAGAGCACACAGCTGCCCCTCGCTACCCAGGCACCCCCTCGATGAGCAGCTGCTGCCCCAGGGGTGTGACGAACAGGCAGCTGGAGGGAGACCACCCATGCCTGGCCCTCACCAGCCCCCCTAGCCTGCCCCAGCCCCAGGCTGATGCCAGCCCCCAGCAGAGTAGCACCCCTGTCAGGAGCTGCAGCGCAGCCACCCTGCATCCTGTGTGTCCATCCCCTGCCCACCCCATGCCACTTCTGCTCAGGACCACCCCTAGCCCAGAACTAAACGCCCCTGCCTTGGGGCCTGGGGCCTGCTGTCACAGACTCTGCCTTCAAGGGCATTTGATTCCCCAACTTTCACACATTAGGCCCCTGCTGTGTGCAGAGTTGGTGCTGAGAACACAGTGCAGGAGCCCACCTCCAGGGCCAGACCCCCTGGGGTAGTGCCAAGTGCAGAGAGCAGGTGGCGTAGTCGAGGCGGGATAGAGAGGCGGCCTGGCATGGTGGGGCCTGCAGGCCGGGGTGGCAGCATCCCAGGCGATGGCAGGGAGGAGGCTGAGGAGCTCCAGTGTGTGGAACAGCAGGGGGACCAGCACGGCAGCGCCCGCCCGAGAGCGCCAGAGAAGAGGGCCAGTGGGAGGGACATCATCGGGAGCTCGGGCCCTCCTGTCCCAGCAGGCCATGAACACGCTCCTGGAGCTGCAGTTCGCACGGGAGTTCAAGAAGGCCGTGCGGGAGGCCTACCCGCAGCTGCTGCTGGCCCTCCTCACCCAGGTCCACTACACCCTGGAGCTGAACCTGGTCACTGAGCCCCAGCGTGGGCAGCAGGCCCAGGAGGCAGCCATGCCCAGTCCCCAGAGGTAAGAGCTCCGAGCACCTCGCTGGCCTGTGCAGTGGCCACAGAGGGCCTGAGAGACAGGGGAGGGTGTCTGGGCTGAGGGACTTGGTGCCACACACCCAGAGGCTTAGAACTGCGGAATGTGTCCCAGCTGTCAGGGAGCTGTCACAGTTCCCAAGGCCGGAGTCCAAAACCAAGGAGTCTCAGGGCCACGCTCTCTGAAACTGGGAGGAAACACCCCCGAGCAGGGCGAGCAGAGGTGTGTGGCGGGCCAGGGCCAGGCAGGCCATGGAGTGCTGCTGCCTGGGCCTCCCTCTGCAGCAGCTCATATTTCCGAGAAGCGAGCCTTGAACACCACCAGTCTTTCATTTGTTTGTATTATGAGGTGCTTTACGCAATTTGTCAGCTCTAACAGCCCTCCCCAGGCACGTCACTGAAAAACTGTCACTCTTCCCGTATTGCCTCTGGGTTAGAATGTGCGTGAAGTTCCTTTTTTACTCTGATCAACATGCAAAACTCATGAATCTTCCCTAATAAGCTAATAAAATGTTCTCGTCCCAGAACGTGGAGGGCTGTGGGAAGGGCTGGCGAACTGCCTGCCACCAGCCTCCTCTCCCACTGCCACCCGGCAACCCCTCACCTGCCACCTCCTCAGCCACCCTCAGTAAACAGCGCCACCTGGAGCCCTCCCTCCTCAGCACCCTCCCATCCAGCACTGGGGTCTCTGGCTCCCTTCCTGGTTTCCTGTTTGCATACCAAAAATGGGAGGTCCTGGAGGGCAGGGGTGCCTGTCTCGGGGCTCCCCCTGGCCAGGGGCACCTGTCTCACCCAGGGCTCCCCCATACACCAGGGGCACCTGTCTCACCCGGGGCTCCCCATACACCAGGGGAACCTGTCTCACCCGGGGCTCCCCATGCACCAGGGGAGCCTGTCTCACCCGGGGCTCCCCATACACCGGGGGCGCCTGTCTCACCCGGGGCTCCCCATGCACTAGAGGCTTCTGTCTCTCTTGGGCTCCCAAAATCAGGGATGTCTGTCTGTCTCCTGGGGCTGTGGGTAGCTTTTGGCTCAAGTGTGGCTGGACAGAGACCTCGAGCCGCTCTCCACCTCAGTTCTGCTCTCCCCTGATGGCCACTATGGGCAGGTCTTCTCTAGCAAAGGATGTGGTCCCAGTAGCCACAGGACAAGAAAGGCTCTCCCTAGGCAGCGTCCATGTTCTGGCCCACGCAGGTACACACCCGTCCTGAGTCACTGGACTCTTGGAGGCTCTGATGGGCCAGAACTGGCTTCCTGGCCTCTGGAGCCTTTCCCAGGGGAAGCTGCTTAGCTGGGACTGTCCTGAAGAGGCCCAGGTGTGGGGCAGGCCAACCCGTGGCCAGACCTTCAGGGAGGCCAGAAAGTCGTTGGGGACAGTGGGGAGACTAGAGGCCACTCTCTGGGCCTCAGAGGGTAGGTGGCCATGTGTGCCAGATTGCCCGGCACTGTCCAGTGTGCAGAAGAGGGAGTACCCTCTGCTGAGTAGCCCCTGACCATAGGTGCCCTGCTGGGGACTTGGCAGAGGGCACTGGATGGCATCCAGGCCAACCTCTGTGGCTCCTGACATCCTGCTCACCCGGGCCCTGGGCCCAGCCCGTGCGGCTTTAGGCAAGGCACTCTTCCCCTAGCAGAGGACCCCACCTTGCTTTTCTGAACAACAAAGACCTGCACCACCCGATTCTTAGCTGGTTCTGCCGCCAGCCAGTGTCCAGCCTGCCCCATGGACTTCTGGCTCCTCTCCCTTCACCCGTTACGGTTGATTCTCTCTACCTGTCATGAGGCACCTCGTTTCTGTATTTCAAACACACTCCCGGTAATGGCCAATTGGAACTGTCGACTTGATTGGATTAAGAGATGCCGAAGATTAAGATGCTTCTGTGTGAGTCAGTGAGGGTGTGTCTAGGATGATTGGCATGTGGCAGAGCGAACTAAAGTGGAGACCTTCCCTGAGTGTGGGCAGCAGCAGCTGGCCCCTGGGGACTGCCAGCTTCTGGTTGTGGAAGCCAGTCTAATAAATCCCCTCTGTATGATCATACTTCCTGTGGATCCCGTTCCTCTGGAGATCCCTGACCAACACGCTCCCTCCCTGCCCTCCTCTGGCCTTCGGCGTCTGCCTCTGTCCCACTGGGCCGCAGGTGCTAAGAAAGGCCTTGGAGAAAAGAAGGAATGTCACCTCCATCAGGACCTCCACTGCCAAAAAGCAAGCCAACCAACATGTTGGCAAGAATGTGGGGATCTGGACCCTTGTGCTTGTTCGTGGGCATACAGGATGGCGCGGGTTCCTCAGTTCATCCTGGAGCTACCCTACCGCCCTGCAGTCCCACTTCCTGCGATTACCTGGGGAGTCGGAAGCAGGGGCCAGAACAGACGCGTGAGCTCCTGTGCCAAGCCACCCGGCTCACAGGGACCACACGTGGAAGCAGCCAGTGCCCGTGGCGGAGGAGGCGATGGACACCTGTGGTCTCCCTGCAACAGGTCCTAGCAGACCAAGGAGGGACATCCAGCACGGCTCCAGAAGGTGGCCCTGGAGGACGTCTGCTGGGGGCCCAGCAGGCACAGGAGGCCACCCTGCAACTCTGCTCCTCTGAGGACCCCATGGGGACAGGCAGTGGGGGGGTGCCCTGGGGGCAGGAGGGGGTAGTGTCCACTGGGGACGGAGCCTCAGTCTGAGAAAACGGAAGAGTTCTGGAGATGGACAGGCGGTCATGACAGCCACACAATCTCACGACTAGGCTCGATGCCGCGGAATTCCACACTTAAAACACCACAGTGACAGATTTTATGTCACAACAGAAGAAGAGGAGGAGGTGGCGGGTCTGGGCAGGAGAGGCTGGTGCCTGCCGCCCTTGGGGAGCTCGGCCGCCCCTGTCTGAAGAGCCTTTGCCCCTCAGAAGGGGACGGGAGTCGCTGGAGGCAGCGTGGACAGCACTGGGATGCCAGAGGGTGGAGGGCGCTTAGGGCCAGGAGGAAGGGAGGGCCACCTGCCACACCAGGCGTGGACTCCAGGGCTTCTCCTCGCCGGGCTTGGGGCTGCACGTGGATTTCAGGTGACACGTGTCACCCCTCCCGGGGGCCCAGCCTGGGAAGGGTTTTAGGTTGTAGGAACCCCCAGAGGGGTGTGGTCTCCCCGCAGATAGGAGGGGATTCCCGGAAGCCCTGCTGTGGTTACAGGGACAGAGCAATTACAGAGGACGAGAAATGGGGACGCCCTGCGTGCCCCAGGAGCAGAAGCACTTGGAGCCTTGGAGGGAAGGAATGCCCTGCACCTCTCGCTCCTGAAAACCACCCTCGCTTGGTGGCTGAGACCAGTGACCTGGAAAACGCCACCTCTCTAATGACGGAGCTGCAGCGAGATGACAAGCCAGCTGGCATTTGGGTTGGCACCACCAGGGACTTCAGAGTGACCCTTGGTTCAGAGGTGCTCAGAGGTGGGCCTGCTCTGAGATGGCAGCCTCTTTCCCGGGCACCTTCACACATCGGGGCTGATGTGGCCAGGCACGTCAAGACGGGCCAGCAGACTGCTGCTTGTGCTTCCCGGGCCTGCGTCCCAGGCTCTGTACCAAGTTCAGGGGCTGTGTGCAGCGCCTGGGGCAGCTCTGTCCCTGTGACCGTGACGTCACTGTGCGGTGTAGAGCCAGAGGCCTGGCTTGGTTGCACTTGTGCCGTCCTTGACCTGGCTCTCTGACCTGAACAAGGCACAGGGCTTCTATGGGGGTGAGCGCCTCCTCCCTATTGGAGGGTGACAGTCACCTCGCATGGCACCCAGGTGCTGATAAACACATGGCCAGGCCACACAACTGTGGGTCATGCCACCTGGTCTGTCCTGCCCTGGGACAGACGAGACCAGGCCTGGAAGTGAGCCCCTCTGGCTCTCATAGTGCCACACACCCTCCTCAGATGTCCCCTTCTTCACCCATACTTAAATGTCCCCCGAGGCTTGGCCAGGACACTCCCCATCCCAGGACCTGGGAGGTCACAGAGCCTGAGATGGTCCTGCAGCTCCTTCCAGACCTGTCCTCTGAGCTCCGCCCGTGGCCAGCTGTCAGAGCAGCTGTGTCCTGTCTAGGTCACTTCAAGGACACTGGCAAGTGCTGTGCTCCCAGTCACACCCCGCCCCCGAGAGCCTGGTCCCTCCCCTCCCTAAAGGGCCCCCCCAGTCTCTGGCTCAGCAGGTCCGGCCCAGGTTGGTGGGCCCCGCCATCTCCCTGTGCCTGGGGAACCCTCCACCCTGGCTTCGGCTGTCAGAGAAGGGCAGGCCGGGCGGTGCAGGCATCGGAGGCAGGTGCTGGAGCCAGGCGGGGAGTTGCCACACCCAGGGTAGGACGGCCCAGTGATGGCTGTTGGCCTAGGTGGCCTGACCCTCTGCTTGGCCACAGCACGTCGCTGGAGGCCCTCAAGAGCCTCCTGTCCACCACGGGGCACTGGCATGACTTTGCCCACCTTGAGCTGCAGGGCGCCTGGGAGCACTTCACCTCCATCACCACCTACGCACAGGGCGTGGGCCTCCTGGCCAGGTACCGGGCACTGGGTGTGTAGGCTGTGGGGACGGGCCTGTGCCCTCCAGAGCCACCTGTGGCCCCAGGGCTGACTATGAGCAGGACCCTCACATTCACACACCGCCACTCTGCAGTCACTCGAGCCTGTGGCGCCCATGTCCCGCCCCTGCCTGGGACCTCCCAGGGCGAGGGCTGTCAATGCGGCTTCCCTGCCTCCCCGGTCGCCGCGAGACCCGGCACGAGTGGGCAGCCAGGGGTTCAAGGGAGTGGGTGCTGTCAGGCCGCTCCTGGCCCCAGCTGGCTGGGGTGGTGGAGGGTGGGCTTCAGGAGTGACCGCAGCCCAGGCCCTGCCCCCAGGGCTATGGTGCAGAACCACTGCCGGCAGATCAAGGCCGTGCTCAGCTGGCTGCTGCGCCGCATGCAGAGCCAGGAGGAGCGGGAGAGGAAGGCGGCCGTCCTGGTGCTCACTGAGGTAGGTGAGCACAACCCAGCAGGACCCCCCAGACCTCCGCCTGGCTGGGGAAGCCGCAGAGAGACCCTCACACCCTCTCCCCACTTGCAGCTCTGCGGGGTGTCTGCAGGCGGTGGCTCCTCCCAGCCCTCTGCCCCTCAGCCCTTGGCCTTGAGGGACCTCTCTCCCCTCGTCCCTCCCTGAACGAGCCCCGCAGAGTGGAAGGGCAGTGGGTAGATCTGTAGTCAACGGTCAGCCTGGCAGGACTCGGGGCCCCTGCCCCAGGCCTGGGGTGCAGCCAGCTTTGCAACTGTGGGCTCTGGGTAGTGGCAGCACTTGGGGGCATGGGGTTGTCTCATTTCCATAACTGACTCCAAGTCAAAGTCTTGGGCTAGCACCCAGCCCCACAGCAGGAGGGTCTGGGCCACCAGTGCCTGGGGGCCAGCCATCGATGCGAGCTGGAGTCCCCCTCACTCCGTAACCTCAGGTGAGGCCTCCGCTCCCTGGGCCTGTTCCCCAGCTGCACGTTAGAGGGGAGGCAGGTAGGAGTCGCATGCTGGTCAGCCAAGGTCCCAGGGAGCACTGGTCCATCAGCCTCCTGCAGCCCTACCCAGACCCTAGACCCAGAGCCCGGACACACATGCAGGCTTCCCAGGAGAGGGTGCCAGACCTGACCCACCCACCCCCTGCGGCCCCTAGTTCCTCTACAGCCCTGTCCTGCTGGAAGTGCTTCCCAAGCAGTCTGCCCTGACCCTCCTGGCACAGGGCCTCCGGGATGAGAGCCCCGACATCCGCGTATGGAGCCTGCAGGGCCTCGGGAACATCCTCTTCCACCCGGAGAAGGTAAGGGCGTGCTGGGGCACATCATGGGGTGGGCCTGGCCCACTGAGTTGGTGGCTGGAGCAGGCTCTCACCACAGTGAGCACTTCCGTTTGCTTCCTGGCCTTCCCTTTGGAACTCCGTCCTACTGGGATCCCAGTCCTCCCCTGGCTTCACATACAGGTGCCCAGAAAATGTGTGGCTGTCACGTGACCCACTTGGTGAAAGTGGATTGGATATTGTAAACAGAGCTTAGAAAGCCAGCAAAGCCCGCTTAAAACTTGTTTTCAAGTTGTAAACATCACCCTAGAGTGCACACAGGGCACGATAGGGGCCAGGGCAGGGGACACCCACGTTGCTTTCTGACAATTCATTTAGAGAATTCAGGAAGGCACAGCAAACAAGGGGAGCAGACAGAATTGGCTGCACAGAATTTTTTAAATCTCTAAAGAAAGCCTAGAAATGGAACATAACTGGTCACTAGAACGTTCTGGAACCTCCACCTCGTATACACAAAATGTGGTTTTAGCATGCGCACCTGACTGGCCTCTTCCCGGTCCAGCCCAGGATCCCAACTGGCCTGAGGCCAGGCTGGAAATGGGGGTGAAGGCAGGGTGGGTGCTGGGGAGAAGGGTGGGCAGGACCAGGAAGAGAAAGGGGCTGAGACCCAACTAGAACTGAGGCCTCTGGGTCCACCCCTGCAGGACCCTGGGGGCTCTGAGAGGGAAGTCCTGTCCAAAGCCATGTGGCCCCTGGTAGAGAGAGCCGGGTAGGATCCCAGCTGAGTCACCTGCAGCCAGGGTGGCACAAAGTGGGAGACAGGGCATCCGGGAACATGGGCACAGTGCATTTGCACAGCTGAAGCTGGGCAGGTCGGGCACTCCACCCACCGCGTTCACTGCCCACAGGAAAGGCTGCTCCGAGGGCAGCTGCCGCCCTTCCTCAACGGCTTCTTCCAGAACAGCGAGCCCGTGGTGGTGGACATCATGGGCACGGTGTCCGACGTGCTGCACCGCTTGGGCACGCACGGTGCAGGGGCCCAGAGCCTCAGCGTGGCCATCAACGCCCGCTCCTTCTTTGATGACGTGAGTGTGGGGGCAAGGCAGGTGGGGTGCCTCCTACTTGGGCCCTCCCAGGACCCCAGGCTCCCCTCCAATTACAGGCATGGATTCCCAGCCCTGGGTAGCAGCTTCTGTGTGCCCAGGACTGCAGGTGGACTGGCATCAAGTCCAGTCCTCCAACCCACTCTCCCCTCTGGTCCCACAGCTGACCACATGGCCTTCCAACTTGATGACAGGTCATCTTGTCTGGAACACGCTCTCCTTCACTGGGGAGTAGGATATGTCTGTCCCCCAGTCACTCTTGACACTCAGGTTGTCAGGCTGCCATTGTGGATGTGAGGGGACAGACTGGACGCTGGCCAGGCCTTGATAAGGAGGGGCCCAGCCCTGCGCCGGAGCCTTGTTGGGGGGCGGAAGGAGCCCCGCCCCTGAGCTGGCTGAGAGGACCCTCTAAGGAAGCCAAGTGAGGTGGGGTTCCAAGTTGCGAAGAGCGGGAACCCCGCTGAGCCTCTGCCTTGCAGGAGCGGGACAGGATTCGGGCAGCAGCCATGGCACTGTTTGGGGATTTGGTGGCAACCATGGAGGGCAAGGAGCTAAGCGGCCTTCGAACCCAGGTGTACCAGAGCATGGTACCTCTGCTGCTGCACCTGAAGGACAAGTGCCCCAAGGTTGCCACGGTCAGTGCCCCACCCGAGGCAAGACAGGCCGATGGCCTCCACCTGGGCCAGGGCCTGGGCGGGCAGATGGCAGCAGGCCCCCACACTGCCCTCGGGACCACTGCCCTCCCGGCCTGCGCACACATGCACACACATTCCGGGCTGCACTGACCTTGGGCAGGACCCAGTGGTTCCACTCCCTGCTGAGTCCCCAGTGCCTGGTGTGTGGCGGGGCCCAGGTTGCACACTGGACTTGTTGGGATGTGGATCCCGCCGACCCCGCCACCAGGGAAGTAAGCCAGTTCTGACATGACCTGAGACGGGCTGCCCACAGTCCAGCCAGGGCGAGAGCACACAGTCAGGCAATGGCCTGAGCGGCCCACTGTCTCTGATGTCCACCTGTGGAAGGCCGACCCCAGGCCCAGACAACATGGGCAGTGTGGAACCGCCCCCCCAGCTGTCCCCAGACAACGCGGGCAGTGTGGAACCCCCCGGCTGT